TGTTTGCTACTGAGTTTATAATTGGTTTACTGACTTCTTCACTTCAAGGATTTCTGCTTATTGTTTTTTCACAATGTCTAACTCTTTATTGAATTGATCTTTCACTTCCTATATTTTTTCTTTGCTTTCACTCCTTATACTATCCTTTACTTCACATATCAGTTTAACTATGAACATCCTGAACTTGGACATTCCTTCTACTGTGCTATCAATGGCTTCTGTCGTTGGAGCATCTTGGTTTGTTTGGGGCGCTTTATTCCCTTGTTTTTTCATGCTGTTGGTGCATTTTCCCATCTAAAAGTATGGATCTAAGGCAGAATAAATTCTGCTTTAGATCCATACTTTTAGAAAAGATCATACATTCCTTTGGTTTGTATCTCTGCTCCTTCATCTATTCCAATAATTTTTACATTTTGTCTTTTATGTTATCCTATAATTCTTGGATTTATAGAATTATAAATAAGTACAGTTGACCATCTTTTCTGTGGACCTATAGTATCCCTGAAGGTTTCCAGTGCTTCACCTTTACTGGTGAGACCAATATCAACAGCACCCAGACACAATATATAGCCTTAAACCTATTAGCTCCCACTAAAGCATCTTCTGCTTTTTTGCATTAAACCAAAATGATGAGTTCAATAACTATCTATGGTATAAACAGAAAGTTTGCTACAATGATTTACAATTTCAAATGGTGGGCAAGAAAACAGAAGTAGTGTAGTACACGATGTTTGCAAGGAAGAAAGAGAGAAGCTACAAGCGAAGATTCACAGGAAGAGGAGCCAACAGAGATTGGCTGTTGGTTGGAGAAAATTTGGAAAGAGAATCCAAGAAACAGACCAGTGATAGGAAGAATATGAAGAGAAAAAATTAAAGATAGAAAAATATACATAGAAAAATACAAAAACAAAAATGCAAAAAAAAACCATTCATATATGATTGTCCTCCATACACTGATGCATAAAAAAACACCCTGACCCAAATACTGTAGAGGTGTTAGTGAATAGAAAAATAAAATAAATCTCCATGGAAAGTCTGTCTCTGTCAGAGTTCAAAGTTTCTCAGCCCTGACTCTGACATCTCATGGGATCACCAGGCCCACTTGAGCCCTTGAAGACCCAGTCACTATCCCACGGATCTGGGCTTCAGATACCTCAGACTGGGCCATGTGGCAGTTCCAAGGTCTCAGTGCTACTCCTATTTGCAGAGACCACCAGGGGTACACTCCTGCAAGGAGCAACCCTGAGACGCAGCAGCAAGAGAGAGGCCACCAGCATTCCCAGCAGGGAGACCCCAGGGGCCTCCAAACCCACAGGCACCGGCACTAGACCAGCCGGACCTGGCAGAGTCCCCAGACAGATGCTTTAGTGGTGGTAAACCTGCTGGCACCCTGCCCCCAGTCCCTGGTCGGCACCCCAAGACGGGTATAGCCATGTGCAACCAAACCAGGAGTCTCCCCCAGAGCAGTCCTCCGGGCAGTGGTAGCAGCTGTGGTGGCAGTGGTTGGTGGCAGCAGGTGGCAGGTCAGCAGCAGCAGTGCTGTAACAGTGTCTGCAGTGGTAGTCACAGTGGCTGTGGGGGCAGTGTCACTCAGGCGATCTAAGGGGGGACAGCAGTGGCATTCATAGAGGGCAACAGTGTCTGCGGTGGCAGCAGCACCCAGAAAGAAGACCTCCAGGTGACCTCGGGGTGGCAGCAGCAGTGTCAGAGGCAGTGTGGGTGGCAGCCGACTGGAAAAGAGACCTCAAGGCAGGCAGAGGCATCTCCAAAGAATCATTTTAATAAATACATGCATAAGTTAACTCTCCAAAGACCGTCTACGAGCTCACAACTGGAATTTGTCACACAAATCAGTCCAGTGCCGTTTGTCCTCAGGAAGGCCCTGGCGGTAAGCTGGAGGATGGACCTTCTCCTGAAGCTGGGAATGCTTTTATTCATCGAGTGCTTACCAAAGAAATGAAAGACTGCATCTTGTTCCTGAGCAGATAAGCTGCTCTCCCACCGCAGAGTCACACGAGTTACATGAAGAAAACTCAGGAACCCTGGAGAATGGGAGCATTCATCACAACACACTCAACTCAGAGAGAAGGATATTTGCCCCAAGAAGTATCTTCCAACCAATAATTATTAAGCATCAAAATCCCTTGGAAAAAAATGAATATTCCCTCTAAAATATGACTATTTCCCCCTTCTAGTTACACTGCTAGCTGTACTTTATATTTTTTTTTTAAAAAAGCTGTAGGTAATAGAGAAACCAATGAAAATGATAATATGCATTTATCTTCCCTCTTCTTAGGCATTACTTTTTGTCTGAGCAAAAAAACGTAAAACCAAAAAGTATCATGACCCTAACTGCAGTAAAAGTCATCAGCCCTGGTAATGTCCCAGGTTCAGAGACTAAAGACCAGGTTCTCCTGTAAGAATGACGTCCCTCCTTCCTCCCTACATTGCCAGCTGGCCATCTCGGATCACTCAGTGGTGACCGTCAGCATGAGGAGGATTTGTCACATTGCTTCCTAAGGCGATGGAGCACAGGGTCCAACCAGGTGCTGTGTTGAGCATGAGGGTAAGGACAATGGTGACCACTGCACAGGACACAGACAGAGTGACCAAAAGACCTGCTCAAACTCAGATGCAGCAGACCCATGTCAACACCCAACAGGAGGCCACGAGAGAGGCCCCAGGGAGGCCCAGTTCTGATGAGGTGAGGTGAGACCGGGGGCCACCCAGCGCTGAGCCAGAGTGTGCTGGGCTTAGGTCCATGCAGCAAGACGAGGAAGAGAAGCAGCTCATCCCCAGGGATTGGGACACAGAGACAGCAGGGACCCAACCCCCTTCAGGTGGGGATGGAGAAACTCTAGGCACTCATGGGGGTAGGTAATGTTTGGGCCACCCATGGACATGGAGAAGAAATGCAGACCAGAGAAGCATCTTAGGCCTCAAAATGCCCTCACTGCGGGATCTGCCAGGAAGCAGAGAGGGCTGGAGTGCTGGGGACCTGCTCTCTAATGAGCTGGGCTGAGGAGCATCAGAGCTGCAAACAGCAGTCTGATGAGGGCTGCGCTGTGCTGTGCCGAGTGAGGACAGGAGCCAGAGAGCAGATAAGTTTGGTTTGTGTAACAAACCTATGCAGGCCAGTTAATTAATCCTTGGCTATTTGCCTGAAAACTGTATGGGACCAGCCTAAGAGCAGTGATTCCTGCTAATTGGAGTGTTGTCTCAGAGAGATGCCCCCGGGGCACAATGCCCCGGAGAAGCAGCGTTTGCACTTATCAGGCAGCCAACTCCATCCCCTCCCATGAGCACAGAGCCCTTTCTAAACACAAGTGTCAGTATTGATAGCCGTTCCTGACGGAGAGCACTGAGTTGGGATCTTTCAAACGGACAAAACCTTAACCTGTTTCACTCCTAGCTTGTCTCCTTCCTCGTGAGTATGACCGACCCCAGATTGCACAAAGGAGAGTCCTCTGTGGCACCAGAGCCTTTGATCAAGGAGATGGGAGACCCCTCTGTGAATGCAGCAGGACATGGAAGACCACCTCTGTGAACGTGGCAAGAGATGGTCATAAAGGTTTTGACAATTAAACAAATAATAAAAATCACCAAGTTCCCATCATTGTAATAAATAAATATCACATTTAGTCTTACCAGCTTTTATAGTATTTTTTCAGTGTGTGTGCCTTAAAATATAAATTCATATTCATAATTCAAATTAACAATTCATACTTCGTATTCCTCCCCTTCAAAACCACAAAAACACAGCAGGCGAAGGGACACCCCCTTTGTGAACCTGGCAGAACATGGGAGACCCCTCTGTGAACCTGGCGGGAGAGGGTAGACCCCCTGTGCAAGTGGCAGGAGAGCGTAGGCCCCTCTGTGAATGTGGCAGAGACAGCCGACCCCCTCTGCACCACCCCAGTCCCATCCTTCTCCCATTGTCCAGGGGCAAGCTCCACAGGCTCAGCAACAGGTCCTTCCACATCATTCCTAAGCCCTTGAATCTAGGCAAATGCAACTCCAGATTGGGTCACACCTCAACCAGACCGCGAGGAGTATGTCCTCCTCCTGGGCTGTCATCTGCCATCCACCTCCTCCTGAAGTTTGACATTCACACTTGACTTCTTGACCCCACAGTCCCTTCCACTCTTCTCATAGGAGAGCAGAGCATTGGTTACAAAACTCCCATGACGATGATTTACACTGGTTCTCTACATTACCCTTGCCTGAATGTAACGATTTTTAATATTTCTTCAAATTAGTGAAGCTTCCTTTTGCCCACCCTAAAAAAGAAAAAATACTAAATATCCATGCCCTTTACAACTCCTGTCATGGTATGAGAGGTACAGAATTGTCACACTATAAAGACAAGGGACGGAGATTGGGTGCAGCAAATGAACTGTGTGGGCAGTGGGGCCTTGATGTTGGCATTCTGCTAACTCACACAGTCATCAGCAGGTATCCGTAGGTTGCAGGGGTAGGAAAAGGCAGAGGCTCACCTGAGGTAGAATAGTAAAGAGATCTGCACCACCAGAACGTTCTTTCTGCTCACCTGGGACTAAGGCTGTGGCCCACTGGAGTGGCCATCAAGAGTCCTTCATGGGCATCTCTTAAGTAAAAAATTCATAAGTATATCATCCAAGATACCAACTAGATTGTTAAACTATCCACAGGACGTGACTCTGAGATAGCAGACAGAAATACCAGATGGGTTGAGAAGGAAAGAAGAAAGGCGAGGCCCTGGGGCCAGGGCTCTGGCTGGGAAGCTGACTCTCAAAGCACCACCGCAAGGCGTGGCACTGAGGCAGCTGCGTGGCTGAGAGGCTCTGGAGTGAGACACGGTGGAAGCCAGGGGGAAGGCTCTTGAACTCAAAATGAGGCTCATTTCCCCTCAACCCTGAGGAAAAGGGGAAGGGCAAAACAGGAAGACAACCAGGGCCCCAGCAGGAGATGAGCCCAGCTTCTCCCACCCAGTGACAACCAGCTCAGGTCTGCTGACTCACCTTGAAGATCCAGCAGATGGTAGAGGGTCGCCATCTTGCTTTCTCCTCTCCAGAGCAAACTTTTCCTCATGAAAGACTCCAACTGTCTCCAAGGACATTCTGGTTGCTCCACATGAGAAATTACTTCAAGGTGGCTTCAAATAGAAGAGAAGTAGATCACAAATGATCTGGAATATTTCTCAGGACCTAGGGCAGGTTAATTGTCTCTGTCTCTGTCTTTTTCTCTCTCTGTGTTGTGTGTGAACGCATGTATGTGTACACACATAAACACCCCACAAACACACTCATGCATTTGTACATATGTCAATATAAATGATACCAAATGCCAATACTCCAATTTTTTTACCTATAAAAGTAGGAAGTTTATAAGGAGTAATGTACATGATTTCTCTCCTTTCCCTCCCTCCTTTCTTGAGGATCAATAAAATCTCAGTTTAAGGAAAAATATTTCAACACTGTAGACACCGAGTCTGAATCTCCACATTCTAGATACCTGGGAGAGAAGATCCACAGCTTTGATCCAAGGTTAGGGCGGCGGCTGAGGCTACAAACTTGGCTACTCAGGTGCCTTTCTGCAAAGATGTGAATCCCCGGGTGATTGCAAGGTGGGTGTGTGAAGGGGTGGAGTGGCCATCGGGATAGGATCTCTGGGTTAAATTGGGTCATGGGCAGGACCTCCCAGCTGGAGGAAATGTTGGTGCACTCGCTACCTTTGTGGAGGCCTGGAATTGATGGGACCCTAATAAACATTAAGTCCATGATGAAGACGAGTTTCAGTTCAGCAGCTGAACCATCGAACCCTATGATGGCAGCACGTGACCTTCTGGGTGGCCACTGCCCATCCCAGTGCCTCCCAGGTGAGGTCCAGGTCCTAAGCCTGCTCCAGGAGGCCTTCCTTCACCCTCCCGGCCCCCACCTAGCTAAGCTGATCTCCCATCACTCCTGTCCTTCAGGGCCAGCTGCCCTGTCTTCCTCAGATCTGTCCCAGTGGCCTCTCTGCTGCTGTCCTTTACCCTCCCCCCTGGAAATGCTTCCTCCTGCTCCTGGTTCCTCGAGTTCTGCTTCTCCAAAATTCTACTCACTCCCACCCTCTTCCATGAAGACCCCAGCTGTAGGTTGGATCTTAAATGTCCCCAAAACCCATGAAATAAAAGCTTGGTCCTCGGCCTGTGGCACCACTGGGAGGTCGCGGGACCCTTAGGAGGTGGGGCCTAAGGGGGGGAGCAGGTCATGGGACCCTGGCCCCCTCCTGTCTCCCTCTTTCCACTTCTGGCCGTAAGGAGAATGGCCTCCTCCTCCAGGCTCTCCACCTGATTGATGTATGCAGCCCAAAGTAACAGGCCCAAAGGACCCTGGACAGACCCCCAAAGTGTGACCCCCCTTTTACAAGTTGAGCATCTTGGGCACGTTGTCACAGAGATGGAAATCTGACTAACAGAGCCTTCTTTCCAGTGGGGTGGCAGCAGCAACGCCTGCTTCCTACAGGCCATGCGGGTCTGCCACGATAGCATATGTAAACCACGGTTCCTGCTCTTGGTAATCGCTCAGAGATACCTGTATCATTCGGTGATTAGTATAATACCCCCTAATATTCTCTCACCATTCCATCTGATCCTGGTGCATTCTGCCTGGTATTACCATCAAACTGGTTGCACATGTGTGTGCACTCTCCCAAAAGCCTGCATCCCCCAGGAACTGGATCCCACGTGTGCTGCCTCCCTGATCACACACTCTAGGCAGAGCAGGTGCTCAGAGGATACCTATTAAGTCATTTACAGAGAGAGGGCAGGAAAAAAAAAAGATGGGATACATAAATAATTGTAGAAAACCAGATTTTGCACATTTTACAGAAAGAAAACACTAACAGGTAAACAAGACAAATCCCTCGTGGTAGAATGAGGGTGCACATAAATGGTGCCACAAGTAGAGAACATTGCAATTTATTTTCACGCTGCATCTTTTATTCAAAGCATTACCAGACATTTGCTGAAAACAGTTAGCTGTACCAAGGGCAGGCGCCTCAATGAAATGCTTCAGTCACATTTTATAGTGGAGGTGAGGCTCTCCCGAGATGTCTTTTTACCAGGCTGAGACCCAGCAAATGATCAGTAGGCAAGGAACCAGTGGTGCAGGAAATTCAGAGCATAAAACAAGCCTCAGAGTTTAGTCAGACAACATGGTCAATGCAGCAACGAGGACAGCGGCTTGTAACTTAATGTCCCAGGGACTTGAAGCCCCAATGACACAGTCCTGGCCACCCTCCCTGAGGCTTGCTCAGCCCACTAGGGCTCACTGTGGCTGCAGGAATGCCTCCGATCTGGGCCCCCCGGTAGTGGCATTGGTACTGTTTTGCAAGGAACACGAGGGGCCACTGATTTCTGGATAAGTCCCCCTTCAGGCAACGTCTACACATGTCACAGGCAAAAGGCACATTTAGTACATTCATCTGGGAAAATACTATAGTCTGAAATATTTTTATTAGCCTTGTAAAAGCCTGAGCTAGTTATTCTACTCTCAATCCCTACCACTGATTACAAGGAAGCAATAATAAGAGATTATTGTTATAATCATCAACTCCCTTCCCCTCTTCATCTCCCTGGAAATATCAGTCAACTAGACTACCAAAAACATGGAAAGCAGAGAACACAACAAGGAACTTTTTGAATATTTGTATTCAGCAGGCTGAGATTTATGCATGAGATGCAAATTACTATGTGTTATTTACACATCTGAGGGAAAACAAATCTTGAATGTAAATGTTTAGAGGGCATATTATTTTTAAATATGAAAGTAGCAAAAATTATTACAGCAGTTGCAACTCCCACTCTGTTAAAAAGACATTCTAATGAGTTTTTAAAAGAACTTTTATCAGAATTACAGAAACTATGGCAAACAAAGCATCAGAAAAATGTAAAGCATTAAATAACTGTTTCTACTTTTACAAATCCTTTACAAAATGAGTTGCAATTTTTCAAGTGATGTAGGATCAGTCCTCTATTAAAAACTTTTTTATTCATTAAACATCAAACGTGCAACATTCACCCACCTGTTTTCAGGTTTTCCCTTACTTCTGATGGAATTCGAGTAAATGGAGCATTTTTATTAGTTAGCTACCTTGGCCTGATCTCTTTTGTAGACTTGACTTTTTTTAATGTGTAACATTGAGAAAAATGGATTGTTACTGGCCTCATTCTTTCAACTGCTAATAGTTTATTTGGGAAATTATGTTGAAAACCAAACTGGGTAATGTAGAGTTCACCCACAAACAATAAAACAACCACAGACCTCCAGTACTCACGGTGTGCCAGTCTCTGTACTAGGTGATTGGCACATATTGTTTCATTTCATTCTCAAAACAACCACTGTTACTATTACGGTGGTTGTACAGACAAAAACAAAAACTGAGGCTCTAGAAGTTAGCAGAATCTCCATAAGTGCACAGGAGAACACATCCATTCAAGACTGAAGGGCTGCATCCAAAACCCTGTCGTGTTACTAGGGAGAGAAGCACACAGTTTACCCACAAGGCACTGTGGCCAGGTACACGTGGGCACTTCAGTTTTCACAGGTTAAGCACTCCTAATCTGAAAATCTGCCACCCACAATGCTCCAAAAATCTGAGAGCGCCACAAGTAGAAAACTCCCACAAAATTCATGTGACAGGTCACTGTCCAAATGCAAGCACACTAAAAATACTATATAAAATTATTTTGAGACTGAATGGATAACATACATATAAATGAAACATGAACAGTTTTCATGGTTAGACTAAGTTCCTGTGTCCAAGATATCTCATTATGTGTATGCAAATATTCCAAAATCTGAAAATATCTGAAATCTGAAACAGGCATTTCAGGTAAGTGGCATTCAGCCTGAGCTATCTCATTAAAACTTGCCAACTACACAACAGAGATGAGTTGATGAAACGAACAAGGAGTCTTCCCTCTGAGTCTTCCCACTGCAAGCTCAGGTTTTCTTCCCAAATTACTTTCTTATGGATTAAAGCAGAGTCCCCAGTTATTGATCTAAGACCAATTAGCAGAAGGTGAAGGAATTCATGTCCATAAACACACTAGGTTTAATAAAGGCTCTCCTGCTCAGATAGGCAGTGCCCCTTTGCAAAGACATTTGTTACTTTCAAGCAGCTTTGTTAAGATATGATTGATCAGCCATAAGCCCTACACTTAAAAATTTGATAAGCTTTGACTCACGTATATCCCCATGAAGCCATCCCCATCAAGATGAGTACATGAAATAAAAATTTACCCTCTTGTCCATTTTTAGGCATTCAGTTCAGAGATATCAAGCGTATTCACATTATTATCAAACCATCACTACCATCCAGCCACACGAGTTTTTTATCTGCCCAATCTGAAACTTCTATTAAACCCAAATTCTCTGTCACCCCAATAACCACATTCCACCTTGTCTCTGTGAGTCTGAGTCTCTGTGTCCTTCACAGATACAGAGTCACATTGCTATGGTTTGTCGGTTTGGGTCCCCTGAGGAATCTACTTTGACTCTACCTGATGCCCCATATGCAGTATTCAAGAATGGAGCTTTGGGGAATGATTAGCTCACAAGGATGATTAGCTCAGCACCCTCATGAATGCCCTGATCAAAGAGTCCCTCCCTCCATGTGAGGACCCATAAGAAGACGTCATCTTTGAGGCAAGGGACAAGTCACATGACATCTGCCCCCCAATCTGCTGGCACCTTGATCTGGAATTCCCAACCTCCAGCACAGTGAGCAACAAATTTTTGTTACTTATGAATCACACTGTCAAAGGCATTTTACTACAGGAGCCTGAATGGCCACATGTGATGTCTGTCTTCTCGGGACAGCCTTCCCTGCTGGGCACACCTGCACGTTCACCTGGGCTGCAGCATGGGTCACAGTAGCCTTCCTTTTCAGGGCAGAACGACAATCCCCTGCACAGGTCAGCCACATTTTGCCTGTCCACACATCAGTGATGCCTCGTGTCCATTTAGAATCTCTTCCTCTGACCCCTCCTGTCTGCAGGCAACTGAAATGCTTTCTTTCACAATAGATTAGTTTGCATTTTCTAGAACATGATGGAAACTGAATCATACATTCTTGGTTGCCTTATTTTGTTCATAGTTATTTTGAAAT